GGTCGCAGCCAAACGGGCCCCGCCGCCGCCGTCGTCGTCGTCGTCGTCGCCCTTCTTTAGCCCGACGCTGGCCGCCATGCAACCTTGCATCAGCGACGCCGCCACCAGCCTCTTCGGGGTCCCGTTCGGCGTCTACCCGACCTTCTTTCCATACTGTAAGTCTTTTCACGTTGCCCCCCCATGCACCACTATGGCGTCACGGGATCGTGTGCGTTTCAGATGAGCCCCTCACCGCCGCCCTAAGCCGACAAATGCAGCAACACAACGCGGCCGCCTTCGGCACCATAGCCTCGGCAACCGCGGCTGGCACCCAACTCAGCGACAGCACTTGTTACAGGAAGAAACAGCGCCGGAACAGGACCACTTTTACCGTGCAACAGGTGAGTCATTCATTCGCCGCACCTCACGTTTCCGTTGTATCGACCTCGTCTGATCATTCGTTGCGTTCGTCAGGTGAAAGAGCTGGAAAAAGTGTTCCAACGGACGCGATACCCCGACGTGTTCACCAGAGAAGAGCTGGCGTTGAACATCAACCTATCCGAAGCTCGCATCCAAGTAAACACTCTTCAAATCTTAACCACCCGACAATTTTTCCCATCATGCACTGCTGCCCATTTCTGGTTCGTTCCGCTGATCGGTGTTTCCTGTTCATCGAGGCATTAAGAAAAATTAATTAATTGATTAATTATGGTTGAAGATCGCACGAAGTATAGCGGAAATATTTTGTTCCTGATGTTCCCATTAACGAAATGCGTCAGACATTGATCTTCTGCCAACACTGGCAATTTAATGTTATCACTAGGAGCTGAGACACGGTTATAAGAGAATATTTATTTTCGAAAAATAGATCTAGCCAACTCCATTGTCGCTTTCTGGGCTTCTACCACAGTAATTCTTCTGTGCGTTAGGAAAGGGACTAAAAGTCAGTCACTGCGCATCGTCTGTTCCATGATCAATAAAGACATATATATATACCCCTAGGCATGCATGCCTGGGGTCATAGAGGACCCCTCGATACATACATGTATACATACCCTCAGGCATGGATGCCTGGTCTCATAAAGTATCGATCAACAAAGGCATATATACATACCCCTAGGCAGGTATGCCTGGGGTCATAGAGGATCCCTCGATACATACACCTACATCAGCATGTGGTACGTTTTTGTTGGCCTTTTGTCTGCTTTTTCATCGGAAATTAACTAGCTAAATTATGGGCAATATAGCAAACAGAATGATGCGAGAAGCATCCTTGCATTTCTAGTGATCAAACGCCATGAAGTTCTGCTAGTTAAGACGGCCCTAGAGACTTCTTAGAACAAGCAGGCAATATGTGTGTGTTGAGATCACCTCTTGAGCCATTTGCGTATACGGAACATATTTATAATTTACTTACGAGGGGGGGCAGTGGCCAGAAGTCAGTTTTGAACTTCAAAAACTTCTTTTAATTACTAATTCCCTTGGGCAAAGAATTTACGTTACTTCGACACAACCAGCTTATAAACGAGTAGTAAACCGTTATTTGCAAACAAGTGAATCATCGTGTTTTGATAAATATAGCTAAAGAAACTACCACGCTACATCATGTGAAGGCCTTCTTGGACTGCTATTCGCTTTCACTATCATCATAACTGGCTGTCCAATATGATGCATAGCGCAAAGTTTAAGTTTTATTGTTCGTTGTTGTTTAGTTTTTGATGCACGCTCTATTCCCAGGTTTTCGACGCTAGTACTAGAGGGTACTATTTCTCTCGGAAGGCAGATCATCCATGTTTCATTCTGCCCTCTATTTTGGTTCTGGATTACTTGTTGCGTAATTGGCAAGGAGAAAGAGGTTCAGCAGTTGAAAATGAAACATCCTCGCTTCCAGCATTACCGATATACTGTTCCTTCTTAATCAATCGCTGTTGCCTTTGCTCTTTTCTTTTAGCAAGAGTATTCTGTTTGCAAATATGCAGTGTGCAAGTTTAACTTCTTCTTTTTGTGTATCTTTTTCCTTCTTCTCTTTTCCTGATCCTCCTTTTCTTATTCTTTTTCTTTCGCCTTGTTCCTCTTCTTCTTGATCTTGTTTTCCTCCTTTTTTAATTTCTCTTTCTTCTACTTCCTCCTTCTGTTTTGTTATTGTTCTCTTCTCTTTTATTCTCCTTTCCTCGTTATCCTTCTTCTCATTCTCTGTCTGCTTTTAATCGATATTCTTCTTCATCCTCGTTTTTATGACGGTTTCGCCTGTTTCAGTTATGTTAAACGAATTTTCCTAACAGAATCAGCCTCATTTGCTACGAATTTCTGATCATTTCTGAACCTCAACTAAAATCAAATCTGCTTGAAAGAAAATAGAAACATTCAATACGCGATTCTGTTATTTAAGCCTGATTATGCGTCGAAGCAAATGTTGCTATACGCAGTGCGCTCATCGTTCTTGGTCCTTCGTTGAAAGACAGGTGTCCAACAACGTTCAACCGATCCGGGGGCAAAGGACAAAGCTAACTGCGTGGAACAGAATGCTTTCTTGGAGCAAACATTGGACAGTTTGGCGAATCAGGAGGAGAAGTTTAAAAGAAATTCACAGTAATATGCATTGAGTATAAAAAATTCAATAATCAGTCTTACTCAGTTTCTGAAATTCGAGATTCTCTGCCTCGAAATCAACCCATAGTCAGGTCAATTCGCCAATTTCACACAAAACAATGAGAAATTCCAGATCCTGCACTGCGACAGTATTCTTCTAGGCAACTAAGAGCAAGGAGGCGATGCAATACGCCCCGTAAAATGTGGTTTTGGAGGAATCATCCACTGTTTGATATACCTTGGCATACGAACAGCTTAATACGTTATGCGGTAGCATGTAAGGAGTATCCGCTCTTGAACCATTGTTCGTGCTGAGCGCGAAGTGACCCTAGCGAACAAAATGGTACAAAATGCAACTAGCCTGCAGATGCTTGAATGCCATGGAGTCGTGGCCTGCTTAAATGCCCCTACAAGCAAACGCGAGCAAGGGACTGACGCACTCACTTGGTCTTCGAGGGCTTATGCGCTATGCTGTCGGTCTTGAAGGAAGATCGAATGTTGCCTCATCTTGCGTCGTTTCGGGATGAATATGTACAGTGTTAGTAATCATGCTGTTGTGAACTAATTTTCGAATGATTTTCGTTTAAACAAGTTTACCGATAGAAAGATAGAACATAGATAAAATATTTATCATCGCTG